TTTTTTTTTTTTCTTTTTTTTTTTTTTTTTTTTTCTTTTTGCCCTCGCTGCTGTCTTGGAAACGGAGCGCTTTTATGCTCAGTGACTCGGGCGCTTTGCTTCAGGTCCCATAGACCGAAGATCTGGGATCAGTAGCTCACGTTGCTGGAGACGTTAAGGGATTTTTCGTCGTGCTTTTTTTTTTTTTTTTCCTGGGGGAGTTTGCATATTTGTTTCTTTTCACACTGGCCTTAAAGAGGATATATTAGAAGTTGAAGTAGGAAGGGAGCCAAAGAGGCCGATGGCGCAAAGGGTACGTATTAAAAAACAATTGTGGAACTCAAATATGAGATTAAATTGAAACGTGGCTAAAAGACACTGCTAAAAAGTTTCCTTATTTCTCTCTCTCTTTTTGAATGAGGCTCCTAAAGCCGTGGCCTAGAGCAAGAGGATTTATTCAATGCATTTGTGGACTTATGTATGCTACTCATAGTTGTTAATTCAAGTAATCAAGTTTTCTATAGCTTCCTAATCAGCAGCTACATAAATAAAAATACAAGCTTGAGTAGTTATCTGTTTGTTTGTTTTTTTAATGCTAGATACCTAATGCTAATTAGATACCTAATTTGAGTGTTCAGGAATCAGAAGTTTAAAGCTCTGTTTAAACTAAAATAAAAGCTGAAACTTCTGATGTGTTATGATTACGCTTATCTTTAATATCATTATAAGTGTCTAGCTTTTTAAGGCAAATAACTTTGTCATAGTTCAGCGGGTTTTGTGATCAGAAAACATTCATCTTTTAAAAGTAATTTAATTTGCATGAATTTTTATGCAAAGTAATACTTTGCGAGTTTTTTTAGATAAGCCCTGTACTAATTGGATACTAAGCACACAGCTACTGACTTTAAAAATGCAATACTAATTTCCCCAATATTTCTATTTGAATGGAAATTTAGTGAGAGTAAAGTGAGACAATGACAACCCATCTGAGGTAGTTTCTTAAAAGAAAGGGGTCTACAAAAAGCCTTCCTTGCATAATTTGTGTCCTGGCCCTCAAAGCCCTGTTTGCAAAAGAAAGTTACTAGGCTGACACATTTTTCTTTACTCCTTTGGTTCAGGCAAATGTCAGCGTTCATCTAAACTCTTTTCACACCTCTGGCTTTAAGGAGATGAAAGTGACAATTCCTCTTTTCTTTGAAAATCATTTCACTCTTGGCGCCTCCAAATCTTGGGAAAAGAACTTGCCTGGATGAAGCAATTAGAAAAACATAAATAGCTAAATTTCACACAAAAAATAATGATAATCTGAAAGTAGTTTTTCTAGAAGAAGAAGATGGGGGGCTATATGTGCATTTGCTCTTAATTTGTTTTAAACCTGATGAGTAACATTTGCCTCATTGAATTCTAGTCTGGGGAGAAAGTTCATAAGAGTTTTTTTGTGGGTTTTTTTTTTTTTTAAATAGGATATTAACTGCTTCAACCATAGATAATTCTAGTCTGGGGAGAAAGTTCATAAGAGTTTTTTTGTGGGTTTTTTTTTTTTTTAAATAGCATATTAACTGCTTCAACCATAGATTTTCTTTAACTTTGGGGGGAAATTGCCCAATTCTAAGTTCAGCTCTAATGTACAGGAGAAGCTACCATTCCTTGAGTTTTGCTCATAAGGGGGTCAGTTAGTTTTGTAAAATTTATCAGAATCTGTCTTGGAAAGCAAAGGAAATGCAGTGTCTTGCAGGAGGACTGCCTAACCTTATGCTGGCAGGGAAATAAAATGAGAAGCCTGTCTGAATTCACGTGCTTGGCGTAGCTGTTCCCGTCCTAACTTTTTTTTTTTTTTTTTTTTTTTATTCCCCCTGGTGTGAAGGGGCTGTGAAACTAGGCGGGTTTGCTGCACTGTCCTGGCACGTTTTATTATTGTGATTTTGAATTTCCTCCTCCAGAGACATGTACGTTGTACCTTCTGCCCTCCAGGAGAATGCTTCCCTTTCTTTCCTTCTTTTTTCCTTCCTTCCTTCCTTGCCAAAGGATCCTGAATTTTCTGAACTACTTGGTAGGGACACAAGTCAGGGCAAGACCATTCATCCCAGACGATTCTTCCTGAGAATCCCAGAATTTTTACTTTAAAAATTATTTTCGAAATAAGAAATCTCAGCTTTAGAGATGGAAGGCCACCGAATTCCGGGTTTGAAGGATCCAGCTGGTCTGACCTTATGTAAGCTCGGTGCCCTGCCGTTTCCCCATTAGCCGGCCTGGCCTTCTGAACCTTCTTTCTCTCCTGTTTGTCACGCAGTACGACGATCTACCCCATTACGGGGGCATGGATGGAGTAGGCATCCCCTCCACGATGTATGGGGACCCACATGCAGCCCGGTCCATGCAGCCGGTCCACCACCTGAACCACGGGCCTCCTCTGCACTCGCATCAGTACCCGCACACAGCTCACACCAACGCCATGGCCCCCAGCATGGGCTCCTCAGTCAATGACGCTTTAAAGAGAGATAAAGATGCCATTTATGGGTAGGTACAATGGGCTGCAGGTTAAGTAGTTGAGACGCGATGCTTCCCCTGTTTCCCTGTGCCCATGGTAAGAGGAAAGTCAGAGCTCTCTGGAATGGAGGTACATTTTTGGTGACTTTTCATTCGCATTGCATGGAGAATTTGGGAAGGCGGCCTGCTATCCTCGACACCCCCCATCTCCATGCACATTCCGTTCCTGCCCAGCGCCCCGCTCTACCGCGGCGGTGCCTGCAAAGGGGTCTCAGTGCGGGAGAAGTTGCTTAAAGGTCCCTCTTACCTCCTCAGACTCCCGCTCAGCGGAGTTGGAGTCCTCTCTCGCTCCACTTCGCCCGGAGAGCGTTAGGGGTTTCTAAATGTAGGCGCCTTTGTGTTGGAACGAAACTTTTTAGTTTAAGGGGAAATCTTTTAAGCCACTGATTGTTCTGACTTGCTAAGTTTACTCAGCAGCCGTATGCTGGCTCTGCCACTGCACAATAAAATCAAGGGAGGATAGTTGCAGGTCAGGCTAAGGGGAACATGTTTTGCATTTAGGGATTTTGACCACTGAAGTCAGGGAGAGGGGCTCTGTCTGAATTCTTACAGACGTTAAGAAACTTCTAGATGTTTTAGCACTTTGCAGTCAAAGGCGAAACCTGCAGGATTATAAAGTAAATGCGGGGTGCTCTCCGGCCAGAGTTTGTTTTCCGGCAGCGGTTTACTCCGTGTTCTCCTCGGCCATTAGAGCAGACCCTGGACTAGGAAAATCCTTTGAAAGTCACTTGTTTCTACTGTGTACTGACGGATTTGGGGACCTTTTTTTTTTTTTTTTAACTTTGCAGCAACTTTTGTTTCTATTTATTTCTTTTTTAAAAATCAGGCAACCCTGACACTCCCCGGCTGAAAAAGAATATCTTTCTGCTTTATTTTGTGGTCCCTTGTGGGATGGGCTTGTTTAAATCCCAGCGTTCTCTCTGCAGCGTTAACTGCAAATGGTCTGGACTCCAAGTCAGAGCATTTGGGGAAGCTTTGAAAAGGACCCCAAACTGTTAAATTCCCAGCTGGGCTGTGAGAGCTAATAAAAGACTTGAGACACCTCCTTGGGCATTAGAAGAGGCTTTTCTCTCTCTCTCTCTCTCTCCCTCTCTCTAATGGGCTGAGACAAGCGACATCTAGGCCCCTCGCAATACTAGCTGCTTGGTCACTCCGCAGAGACGAAACGAAAGGCTTTACCGCAGGAACATTTGAAGGAACTTTCCTTGGGGGTCAGTGAAGGCCATCTGCGAAGGGAGGGGAGTATGCAGGGAGCCCATGAGGAGCCTCTCTGCTCTCCGAGGCCGTGGGGTCGGGATCGGTAGGTGCAGCCTGGTGACAGTCGGTCCCTCGGCCATAGAGGTGCTTTCCCCAAGTTAGCTCAGCGCCTGCCACCGAGATCCCCCAAGCCTTGGGCTTCGCGCGGCCGCCTTGGAGGAACCTACATGAACCAGCTTTCCCGACCCCTACGCGCAGAGCCTTTCTCCTCCACCAGGTCCTGGGTGTGCAGCGAAGGGACGAAGGCTTGTCGGGTGGGAAACTTAATTCAAAATGGCTGCTGGGACTGCTTGGGTTTTATTTGTAGCAAATGTTGCCAGTTTCTCCGGCCCGATAGGCTGAACCGATCCTCAGATACGGTCCATGGCTCAGGGCCTCGGACTTCAGGGCCCTAGGAGGAAGGGGAGGTGAGCAGTCACCTGGACGGGGGGGAGGAAAAGGAAAAACGTAGGTGACAAAATCAGGGAGGGGGTCTCTGCTTCGAGCTCCTTCGGCTGTTTTTCTTGGGCGCCTTTTTTACTGACTCGGGACTAACCATTGTGTTGTTTGTGACTGTTGTATTTTCTTGCAGACACCCCCTCTTCCCTCTCTTAGCACTGATTTTTGAGAAATGTGAATTAGCTACTTGTACCCCCCGCGAGCCGGGGGTGGCGGGCGGGGACGTCTGCTCGTCAGAGTCATTCAATGAAGATATAGCCGTGTTCGCCAAACAGGTCAGCAAAATGAATGTTAAAAAAGTAAAAGAAACAAAAAAGACCCCCCCCCTCCCCAACACACACATCCAGGACATTTTCAGAAGTAGCCAGCAAATAGTCCACCCTAAGCCATGCCTGTTACATCCACCCTGAGATTTTCCTCCTATATGACTGCCTGTTTGCGGATAATTTAAAGTCACCCACATTCATACCCACTCACCCTCCCTAAGCTAACGCAGAAAGCTCACTCTATCAAAAAAAGAAAGAAAAAAAAAAAGTCAGGAACGCCACGCGTTGTAGCTGCTTTGGACTTGACGAGCTGAGCAGCGTCCCCGAGAAGCGTAGTTGCTAGCAGAAGTCAGTCTGAGCTCTGGGCTTGTTTTCGGCTTATTTGATGCACATTGAAGTGTTCCTGAGCAGGATGAACTCGGTGTCACGGAGTCCCTCCCGGAGGTTACATCCTACCCCCGACAGTGTAATCAGGGCAGAAACTAGGAAAGCGACCAGATTTCAAATTTTTCTTTCTCTTTTCCCCCCTCCCTCTCCCCTCTCTTTCTCACTTGTATTTAGATTCGCGCAGAAAAACCTCTATTTTCTTCTAATCCAGAACTGGATAACTTGGTAAGAGCGGATCCTTTACGTCCCTTCCCCCATCTCCCTCACCCCCCCCCCAGCCCCCCAGTACCCTCAGCTTTGCTTGACCAGCACTGAGGTTTCTAGACCAGTCTTCCCGTGGCTGCAAGTCTGCTGCGAGTGTTTCCGTCCACGGACAAGTGGTCCGGGACAAGATCCCGGGGAAATGAATTTATCTCCAGAGGGGCCGGCCGAGCCGGCGCGGGGGAACGCGAGCTTTTGTTTTTTATGACAGCCGGGCCGCGCAGCGCTAATCAGCGCGGGGATTTATCTCCGGGCCTGTCAGCGTGTGTGCTTAAACTTTGCGGACTTCCCAGCCCTCAGAGTCTCGTCACGAGGGCAGCGACCGGGCAAGAGCCCCCAAACAACCAGTTTGCCTGAAAGGTGTGCGGAAGGCAGCGGGAAGTTTGCAATGTGAAAAGCCACAATTTGGAGGCTATTTGGAATGTTTTCCATCCACTTCTTTCAAGGAAACATCCCTTCCAGTGCTGTGGCCCTTTGGGGGGTGGGGTGAAGCCAGTGGGACTGAGAAAGGGGAGAGCCATGGGGGAGGAGAGTGTTTATGATCCCCACTTAGATGCTTTGTTGTTGTTTTAGCTATTTTTTCTCCTTAAGAAATATAAACCTCTAGATGGTACCCAGTCGCTGCTATTAAGTTTTAGTGTTATTGCCATAAATCAAAATAACTCTATTTACTGGGGGGGAGGGGGTGGGCTGGAGATCTAGAGCTGTGACAGCCAATTTTCTGCAAACCAGGAATGGGGTGCTCATTCTTTTTATATCTTTGCAGATGATTCAAGCCATACAAGTATTAAGGTTTCATCTGTTGGAATTAGAGAAGGTAATTTCTCTAGCCTCTTTTCCTTTTTCTTTTCCCTCACCCCCAAACACACAGGGGGGGAGGGTTCAGAATGGCTGAAGTTCAGGCTTCTGAGACATTTGCATAAATGTCTTTCTTGCTGGTAATTAGTGTCAAGGCCAATCTTAGCGTCCATTTCTCTTCGCAGTTTAATTACAATTTCAGCCACTAAAACCGGGATCACAAACGCCCTAGCCTTGTGTTCATTCTTAATACCTTGCTGGCTTTGTGTAAATAGTTGCAATTCTGTGCATCCCAGTTGATGTTTAGAATGCTGTTGTGAATTTGCTTCACAGGTTAATACCTCTGTGGTCTCTTGTCTTCCTCTTCCTCCTCTTCTTTGCTACCTCTGAGGGTGAGAAAAGTTTTGTTTAGTTTTAGTGAGTTTCTGGAAGACTGTCTGAGAGCAACGGCAGGTCAGACACAGAGGAGAGGCAGAGGGGGAGGAGTAGGAGCGGACAAGGAGTCTGGAGGAGGTGGTGGGGGAGGCACATTAAACGTTTTGCAGAGACAAAGCAGAGTTGATAGTTGTGTCAATTTCTTGAGTCTGAGAATCCTGCACACACCCCACCTTCACACTCAAGAAAGGGTGTGGGATAACATGATTTTGCTAGCTGTTCTATAAATCTCAGCAATAAAAACTTAATGCATTGTAATTCAAACTAACATTAAATTGCAAGCACACTGGGGTTTCCTGTGAATTTTTGCATGACAGTGATGCCTGGGGCCTGTAAGAGACCTCTCCGCTTACACCTAAATATTTCGAAGCATTCTTCTCCCTTTTATAAAAAACAAAATCAACTTGAGAAGTTATTGTGGTTGTAGGTTTTTTCACGTCATGAGTACCGGCAACTTGATTTCTTTTTTCTTTTTTTTTAAAGGAAGGATCCTAAAATATGCTCATTAGGGATAAAAACCCTAATTACAAATGTTACAGGGACTTGGGTTATCAGGCTATGCCACCATAGTACAGGTCCTTTGGAGACTATATATGTATATGTTTATACATATGTGTACATTTTATATATAAGCATATATATAAAATATTCACTTTTTTTTTCTTAGATGTGTTGGAGAGGGATTTATGATAAAGTAACTGGATGAAATTAGTTTACCTTAAATGTCACCCACACAGGTCACTTCTCTAATGGCCACAGCCCCAGGAGCAGATGAATTTAACACGGGTGTTGAATATGTTGTAGCCTGTGAATCATCTTGTCACTGTCAATTTTCTGGGATATCTCTATTTTGTAAGAAAAGAAAGTTATTCCTAATTCTGGATGCGTCTAGAGGTCTCTGGAGGACAATTGCCCTGTGTTTCCCCTATTTGGAAGTTTAGATCTCACAAGGGGGGTGGATTGCACTTGTCAATGTCATTTATGCACTTCTGATTATATTTCCATTTTTTTATTTCTGTCATAATGTAGGTACACGAATTATGTGACAATTTCTGCCATCGGTATATTAGCTGTTTGAAAGGGAAAATGCCTATCGATTTGGTGATAGACGATAGAGAAGGAGGATCAAAATCAGACAGTGAAGATATAACAAGATCAGCAAATCTAACTGACCAGGTATGTGCTTTTCAATTTCAACATCCCTGGAAAAAAATCTGTATGCATATTGCTTGCTGGGTCACTACCACCTCCTTTTATTATTTGCATATGATTAAGTCTCTTTTAGATACATTTCCATCAAAATGAAAATTTTTGAATAATGTGGCTATTATTGCTTCATTAAGGCTGGCTCTGGGATTCGACCTGGAGAGATGAGCTTGTAAAAGCTTTGCTTGCAAACTTGACCTGTTTCTTGTCGCTTTTAATTTTTGTCTTTATTTTATTTACCCTCTATAATAATGGGAGTGTTAACTGCCAGTGACCGCCTCTGATTGTAGGGCTTTGTTCGGGATCATTTTTTCCCCCTTCTATTCGGAAGAAAAGAAAAGTGTAGGGTCTGCTTATTTCTTATTTTATTAGGAGTAAATCCAAGATAGGTGGTCTAAGAGAGACAGTGAGGGTTTGAAATCTAGCAAATGCTGGCTATTTTCTCCCTGTCTATACGGTTCATTAGCCTGTCTTGTCAGTTTTCCTCGGCCGAACGCTTCTAGACCTCACTGAACATCGCTTTGTGCGGTGTTGGCTGCAAGCTCGCCCATTTTATTGTACTTAATAGAAAAAATAAGACCAGGCCGAGGTTATAAAAACAGATAAATATGGACTTTTCTCCTCCTCCTTTTCGCGCAATCTGCAGCTGGTACGTGCTCTGGGCCCTCTGGGTTGGCAGTTTTTGGAAGTGTCAGCGTCACGGGTACCCCCGCGGCTCCCACAGTGTGGAGGGTGGGGGACCTGATGCGGCCTTTGCTCTCAACTGCGGGCCTCTGCTTGTTGCCCCCTGCTCTCCCGTCCTCCCACCAGGGCCTTATTCCGCTGCGTTACTAAGTGTGGACGACTTTTATTTGGAGTTGCTGGGAGGATTTCTCTCTCTCACCCCTACACCATCTCTCTCTCTCTCTCTCTCTCTCTCTCTCTCTCTCCCCTCTCTCATTCTCGCCTCTTTCTCTCTCTCTGTCTCCTGTTGTTGCGTCATTGGCTTGGTCCAAAGGAGTTGCAAAAATGCAATGAAAGTGAAAACGTGAGGAGTGAGTGAGATGAAACAGGGCCCAGGACAGCTGTGCCGCGAATTGTTGCAATGCGTCTACAGATCTGAATAGCCGGTCTCCCCCCACCCCCACCCCCCATATATAAGTGAAGGCCCAGAGTTGTTTCTCTGACTTGGTACGTGAGTTTCGTCTTGGGGAAAGAGATCAGCCCGCCTTTGTTAAGCCAAAGGCCAGCTACTCCTACGGACTTTTCTTTTGCAAGCTCTGCCATGATCACTGTTGGCTAGCGTCTGTGTTGTATAGTCCCTTGCCGGAGTGCCCGACACCTCGTTCTTGGTGTCATATTGAGATTTTCTTCTCTCAACATCATCCTCTTAAAATAAATTCCCAGCTTGAATTTCTCTGGGTAACTCCGCGACACAGGCTGAATTTCTCCTTTGCCCATGAGGAGTGCGACTCAGGCAGAGCAGAGGCTTTAAAAGTGCCGGTGCGCCGAGTCCTCACTATTGTTTGGCCAGTTGGAAACTTTCGGCAGTGTAGACAAGTGCACAGAACCCGCAGCGTGCGCAATCCTGGCGCGGCCGGGCAGAGGTGGGAAAACTCCAGGCAGCTCTCGGCCCTGGCCCCGCGGGCTGTTAAATGCAGAGGAACACTCGTATAGCTGCTGTTGAATAAAAATTGTAATCCAACAAGCCTACCTAGAAAATGGGATTCAAAAAGCTTCGGAGTGCCGGGTACATAAAGCTATTTGAGCAAATTACAAGAATCGCTTAGGGGCATGAATGAAATCAACACCTTAATTGCCTCCAAAATGAAGATTTATACTCCATTTTCTCAAGGAATCATTATTTTATTAAAGTCAAATATAAAAGACCAAAGTTATGGGGGGCTTTGGGGGGGAGGGGTGCAAAATTGATGTAACATCATTGAGTTCTCCCCTTACGCCGTCCGTAAACTTTTGTTACCCAATGACTTTAATTTGAGATATGCACAGATTGACGTGCAACTGTATTGGGTAAAACTTCGAATTTTATTCTTCTTTCCCACCTATAAAATAAGAATCCTACATCCGGTCCCCGCCGTTTGAGAGTAGGCTTCGCAGCTTTGGCTGAGCTCGTGACCTGTGTGCGTGGGCTCGGTGTGACCCCCCGGGCTCGCCAGTCTCAGTTGGTCGGAGGGCAGCAAACCCAAGTTTGTTCTTTCTAACTGCCTGGCTCTCGGGAGCTAGGAGAGAGTGTGCCTGGGTCTGGATTGGGCAGGCGAGCGCAGAGCGCGGGGCGCACGCGGTTCTGTGGCTCGGACGCGGGTGGGCTCCCCGGCCCTAAGGAGACGCGGAGCGAAGGACCAGGCATCACGGCCACACCGTGGGCTCCAGTTCTCCCGAATGGAGCCTGCTGGCCTGTCCCCGGGGGCGCGGAAACCCTGGTGCGGCGCCCTGGGGACCGGGCCCGAAAAGATGGCCTCTCCACCTGTCTGCGAATGCGGCCCAGCCAGTTTGAGCCTTGGCAGAGGGGTTGCGCGCTGGGACTGGACGCTTCAGGTGTGGTTCGAGCGCTGGGCCTCGTTAGCTCATTAACCCCTCTGTCTCTAGAGCCTGCTGGCGGCAAGGTTTATTTTATTTTACTTTTTTTCCTCGGAGGGCGCGAAGGCTGCCACCCGCGCAGGGACCTGGGATCGACGACTTTGATAGCAGCCGGTTTCCCTGCGGGCTAAACAGGCGAAATCCACTTGGCCTTGTACTCACAGTGTTGTTGGCTTTTCTTTCTTTCTTTCTCTCTCTCTCTCATCAGATTAAGACTCTAGTAGAAACTGTTATCTCGTCCTCCCCTTTCCCTCGCAGTTGCCCCCCCCCCCACACACACACTCGGTCTTGGAGGCCTCCTGGAGGTCCCATGGCAGGACAGCCACCTCTGGCCGGCCTGGGCCTCCTGGGCGCCCTCTCCCGACCGCCGCGCTCCGGGCTGGGCACTGAGGCTCGCGACGCAAAGAATGCGGGCTGGGACAGCAAAGAATGCGGAGGAGAGACCGCTTTCCGGCCTTGGCGTGGGGTTAGGGTCGGGCTGCAGCCCCGGAGCGGACGGAGCTAGCGACCATGGTGCAAGGCGTCGAGAGGGGAGTTGGACCTGGTTGGCAGCGAGAAAGGATGCGGGCCTGAGGGTAGGCGGGTAGCGTGTTTGGGAGGCCCATAGTGTCATTGGAGGTGCTGAGAGGGGTTAGGCGGGAAAGAGCCTGGCCACCCAGACGATAGCAGATTTTAGGTCGCCCTCCTAAAGGAAGATGTCGCCTTCCTTCCCAGGGTTGTCTTTTGCTCGCTACTCCTTGAACCTAAGCATTCTCCACTCCAAGAATGGGTAGGGAGAGAGTGGAGAGAAGAGCAAAGACCCCCAAGGCCACCTCCTGGAGTGGCCGCGCCTGCTAGTAGCTAGCTGAGATTAGCTGGGCCTGTGCTGGGTCACCAGCGGCGGCCCTGGTCCCTCCACAAGCAGCGGGAAGCAGAGAAATGGTCCCTTTGGATTACAGTTTTTATTCAACAGCAGCTCTCCGGGGGGTCCTCGTCTGAATCTGCATTTAACAGCTCCTGCGCCAGGGCTGCACAGGGCGTCCTGTCGCGTGTTAATCCAGATTTGTCTCTGATGTCTGGGGAGAAGTAATGTGGCTGGAAGAGATGGAACCAGAAAGCCACGCTCACCAGGCAGGTTAAATGCCAAGTGCTTGCGGGCTCCCAGGGTAGGGGTAAAGTGGGGTGGGGGGCGTCCGCTGGGGCCCGGCAGCCCAGGCTGGAAAAGGCAAGGACGCAGGCCTGGGGATCTGGGGCAGACCAGGGCCAATGTGCTTTGGTTCCCAAGTAGCCCTTAGAACTCTGGTGGCGATTGTTTTATTTCAAAAGTTCGGAATGTTGTTTCTAAACCATAGTTTGGGTTAAAATTCTTAAAACTGAAGTAGGACTTCACTTGGAAACGCCACCTTCTTTCAAAGTGGGGTGGGGATTCTTCCGAGGGAGATTTAAGCTTTCCCTTTGGAGGAGATTTTATGGTAAGAAAAGGGTCTGGGAGGGCAAGGAATAACTTAATGTCCTTCACGGATTGAATCTGCTGCTTTAGAAACACATAGATGGGGCCAGCCGATAGTTACTGATACTAGAAATGTCCGGGATTCATTTTTCATCTGATAACAAAACGACATAAACAGCGGGAGGCAGGAAAATGGTCCCCTTGTCAGGTAGTTTGTTTCTAAATGCTTACATTTGGATACATTTTATTTAAGTTGTAAATACTTCATAGGGTCCCACTTAATGCGTTGATCCTGGAACCTCTCACAGGCTTTGCAAGTGAAGGAGTCTTAGCATCATCTAACCTTACTTGTTGTGGTGGTGGTAGATCATGTGGTGTATTCTTAATTCCTTTTTTGAAATATGTGGAAGGGAAATGATGGCAAGATTCTCTTTAATGACTAAATAATAAGGTGTTGACTTCTTGTCACTACACTAGCTAATTGGGATGTTCATACTAAGCCTTTTAGTTCTTAGTATCCTTTGAATTAAAAGTTAGTTGTTTACCAGGTGTGTTTTTATTGTTACTTTCTCACTGACTTTTAGTGAGTATTTATGTGTGAATTTCAGAGTAGGGATGTATTGATTCTTAAAAGAGGTACTTATAAAACATTTTATAACAATACGAAGAAGTACGGGACATATAAAGATAGGTTGAGAGCAATTATGCTGTTAAATGTCTTGAGATCCAAATGCTAATACTACAAAAATTGTTCCCTTTTCATAGCTCTTCTCTCTCTCTCCCTCTTTCAGTGGAAGTCCCCAGTGCAAGTTCCGTGGTTAATGGAAAGCAATGATACTAATGCTACCTTGTACAAAGTAAAGCCCCATAGCAGTAACTATTGTTCAGTGATTTAACTAGCTTTGTGGCAATAGGTCACTCAAATAGCAATTCCTCTCCCACCAGAATGACTCCATTGCTCACC